TTCATATAGTCTTCCTAATTTTCAAAGTAAAAATAAGAATATTTTTTTCAAAATTACATATTAATATGGTGGGCTCACTACCATGAAAGCCTCTCGAAAGGTGTATCTTGCTACTATAGACATATCCTGAGATATATAGAATTATTTAAGATTTTTTCCTATTTTTAATAATTGTAATATGCAATATTTCAATTATTTAATCAAGAAAAATACCTTAAATATCTTTGGAGGAACTTGACTATTTTAGTCATTAAAACAAGTCATATCATAGCATCCTATCTGTTTGTAAAATTCATTACAATTGGGGATGCTATAAGTGTGAATATCCAGATAAATATCCTAATTTTTCTTAAGATTAAAATATATAATGAAATATTAAATAAATCTAAAAGACGGTATGAGAACTTCCCTAGATACATCAATAGTTGTTCACAACGAAAAATCAACCTGGAACACTGTATATGATCCTCTCATGTTCATTTAGGCATCATTAGAACATATAATCATAACATCTACACATTGGTTGTTTGGTTTGATTAATTTGATTTCAATCTGAAAACTTCCAACCTGAGTTTAACTGACATAGTTTTAACTCTACACAATATATTTGAGCATAGTTGATGAGTTCACCACCGTTGGAGAGCTAATCAATAGGGGATTATACTTTTCTAGGATGACTCACACAACATGCTAGATTAGTCAACCCTAGATCTCTACTAGGCCCCAATAACCTTGAACTATTTTTAAAGGCCACTCTGGTCTACCCTTTGCTGCATCATTAGCATGCACATCATCTTGATTACACTTTCCTATGATGACTCACACAACATGCAAGGCTAGACAACCCCAGATTCCTCCCAGGCCCTACCTTGAACCATTCCTAAAGACTACTCTAGTTTACGCCGTGTCGTATAATTAGCATATATACATCATCTTGATTGACATAGTGAGATATTTGAGGTAATTAAAATACAGCCAATAGTATAGTTATACATCCTAATTAGACTTCCTATGAACTTAGACAAATCACTCTGGTTAAGTGTTTTTCAATATAATCATACTAGTTTGATTGTGCTTTCTACTCTCCTCAATCTTGCCCAATTGGTTAGGAATTTTATTAGACTTGTCATGTTATATTTAGTGAAGCCTACTCTTAGTATTGTTAGGCTTTTATGACAATACTACTTACCTTCTTAGTCATGCTTTTTTTACTAAGAAGTATTCTTAAATTAACCAAGCTCTCTTGGCTAAGTTCATCTTTCAGTGTAGTCATACGCCTTTGACTATATTATCTTGATTTAATCATACTCTTCTAGTCAAATATGCTCCCTTCTATTCATGTTCTTTTAACTAGCACATCCCAATTTAGCCGTGCATTTTTGGTTAAATTATACCCAAACTAGATCATATCATATTTGGATGAGTTAATTCCAATAGAACTCCACTAGTGACTCTCTTTATAGATCCTTTGAGCCTTTGTCATATCACATTTAGTTAGGTCTTGTCCCGAATCGATCATGCTTTTTAATTGGGTCATTCTATTGTTCAATCATCTCTTATGATTGAACAATAACCAATTATGGATATACACGGATACCATACCATTCCTTACCTTCTGAATAGATGGTCTCTATTTGAATTGGCACTGCACTTCAAACATTTGAAACTTCTTTTGAATGTCTAGAACATTTCTATCTTTCAAGTGTTTGAATCACTGCCAAATACTTGAATTTTGAGCTTGGCAGATAATCATTCTATCTTTTTCATATTGGTTGCATTTGCATCTGCATGAAATGAGTCAGCAGACTCAGCACTTGACCAAAAAATGCAAACCATAATAGCTTTTGACAGTAGTGTATGATTAGGTAGTTAGACTATCATTATTAGATGATGGTTCATCTGATAATGAAAGTTATTCTCTCATAACCGAATATAATATGATTGTTTAAGGAATACAATCAACCTAGAGCATGTCATCTTACTATTTCAAAAATCAGTCATTTAAAATCAACTAAATTAAGATGATAAACCTTAATTTAGTTGGATTCCTTAAGATGAGCTAATTTCATAGCTTGTCATACCTATATGAGTTAACCCTTATCGCACTAAGACTTTCGCACACACTTAGATGTTGCTATAGTCCACAACCCCTTAGTCACTTAGCACAAGGAGGTTGTAGTTAGGTCAGTAGCTTGTTAGAAATTCCTTTGAGCCACACCGCATATAACTTTGTGAGTTGGGTTCTTTGTTAGTTAGGATGTTCTCTAGCTTGTGCTTGATTTTTTTGTTGCTTTATAATATTAGAAGTATCGTATAAATATTTTTTTATATGTGCCGGTCATACGACCATTGCCCTTTTAGTTTTACAAGGGTCATATATCAAATATTTAAAATACCCAATGAATAAATATCCGATATGCCATATATTATTTAATTTATTTTTCTAGTATTTTACGATATGCTTTGATGGATCCATTTAGCACTATGTTATTTTTATTGTATTTTGAGAAAGCTTCGTATATACAAAAAGGTTTAAACAAAAGTTCTAGATTTAATGCAAATGTTCATCCGCTTCCAGCAACACCTTTTCTAGTATCCAGGAAACGTTTATATATATTTGAACCAAATGATAAGAATCAGGAGCAAAGGTATCACCTAAACTAATGCCTTCTTGTCACTTACATTTTTAATATAGTTATAGGAGCCTAAGCATGTAATTAAAAACACAGTTTCTATTTTTATTTAAAGATATGTACGAGTCAGCCTGCTCACCTACAACAGCCTACTCTATATTATTTTATATAGCCATCACAGCACACTGTTTTGTTTACACCTATTTTTTTATTGTACTTGTATGTTGTATTCGCTTTGTCGCCGATATGTGATTGTTTGAGCCGATATGTGATTGTTTGGGATATAGACGATGTTGTGATAGGCTTTTAAGATAACAATTTTCCATCAACTTAAATAAATTCATAAATTATTTAAAACTCAATTTAGAAAAGGATTTTTACTTAAAAACTAAGGCTCTCTCAAGCCACTTTTTAAATAAAATTTATTCTCTTGGTGTCTCCTAAACAAGATATATGATTGAGCTAGCCAGCAATCAAAACCCTCAAGCATTGTTGCGCGCTCATAATGTGACATATGGAACATACATGATAAAAGTGCTTGACCTTACCTGAAGACAAATAACTTTGCATTACCTAACAAAATCGTTAGGATAAAGCTATTTTATCAGGCATGGATTTTAATATGCCTAGGTGTTGTCTTATTATGCTGGGTTGTAGCAATCCTGACCAAGACAATATTGTGAGTTCAATTGAGTGGCTCTAGTTGTGTATATTTGGGCTATTTTATTTATTTTTTTCATAGGAAATTTTCTATACCACTAGAGATTGTAAGTCATACATCTTTTCAAATCCATATTTAGAATTCATTTGTCTAGGAAACCTAAGTTTCCCTTCCTTTGTTTGAGATCATAAAACTAACTTTAAATGATGCAATTCATGGTTGGGTCAACTATCTTCTCAACTAAATAATTTTAAACTTGATAGCTTGAGGATGATGGATCCATGAAGTCCTGAGTCCTGACCATGCACTTCTTACTACTTGCCCACTACCCTTTTGAACCTATCGTATTCCTTTGTTGAGTCTTTGATGATTTGGTCACTTTGACTATATGGACTTTTTATGTGTAGATGATCATCTTGCTTGGTCATGGTGATTTACCCTTTATCTTATAGATTGATATGTATTTAAGAAAAAACTGTAATATATTGTCAACGATTTTTAAATTAGGGGCCCTTTGTTTTATAATTAACCCAATCAAATCAAAATTAAGGCATGTTTTGTTTACAGAGAGTTGCACATGGAGGGGACCTCAAGCTTAATTAACCTTTGGGAGCCTGGTCTTTTTGAAAGATAGAGTAACCGATATTTTGTTGATTCAATTTAAGTTTTTGAAGATATAACTTCTTGTAAATATTTTAACGCGAGTTTAGATAAGATTTATGAGCCTGTAATTTTGGACATCATTTCTTATCTCCTCTCGTGAAATCTCATGTACGAGAAAAACACTATCATCATCCTTTTTTCAGCACCAACACATTCACAATAGCATAAAAGCATACATAGCTATTAAAATACATCTCGGGAAGGAAAAATTAAAATATCAATTCATAACCTTTGAAATAAAATGTATTTATGTTTTTCAAGCATGGAGAAATTAAAAACTCCATTACAATAATCCTATGGAACTTATTTAATTTGAGTACAAAGTTTTAATGGCTAATATCTTCCGAATGTTATTTACTCAAACAATGGACTAGTGGAGTTATAAAAACAACTTATAACCCCTAATCTAACAATTAGAAAATGTTGCCAATGCACCCAAAAAAAATCATATTTTGAGAGCTACGAACCTAAAATTAAAATGAAAAAAAAAAGGGAGATATAGCTAACTGCTCGACAGCTTAATACAGAAAGTTTGTTTCATACAAACACCAAAAGCTCGATCTTTTCAAGGTTCCTTTAGGGAGAACTGAGCCGTATATTCAAGCAGATATAAAGAAAAAGTGAGCTCCAGTGGTTAGTTGTTCCCACACCAAGTCGTTTTTCCCCTTACTTCAAGTTATCAGCATCAAAGTAATTCAAAAACAATAAAATACAATTTTTTCTTGAAACAGTTTACGGAACGCAAGCAAGAAGGCGTAAAGAGGACAATCCAACAAACAAAATAACTTCTGCCTAGTATCCACGGCTACAGTATATCCAAGGCAGTTTGGCTAGGGGGTGTTTGGTATCGGATTTGTCTTCACTTTTAAGTAGGATTTAACCTCAATCCAGCCAAACACCTTTTCGCGAGCATTTAAATCCGGGATTTACGGATTTATGGCATAAATCCGGTAAATCCGGGTAAATCATAATCCCATCCTTTCCCGGATTTAACAATATTGACGGGATTTGGCCGGAGAAGAGAGCGAAAGGGAGAAAGTTACCTTCAAAGCCAGCGAGCTCCCGTTGTTGAATCCGATCAAAATGTCGTAACTTCCGATCCGACAGGAAGGGAAAGTCGACGAAGGAGCGAAGTCGAACAGCCACGAAGGAGCGAAGTCGAACAGCCACGAAGGACGAAGGAGCCGAAGAAGCGACGCGTGCAATCTCTACACCTCCTGCGAAGCAACGAGAGAAGATGAAAGGCAAACCCGACACCCCTGAAGTTATTACTGCTTAACTTAATTAATATAAGTTAAAATAATAATAATTGAGTAAATTAATAATATAATTAGTGCATAAAATATTTATCTAATTTAACTTAATTGAAAAATTAATGATATATTAATAATTAAATATAATATCATTAGCTTAATTAATATAATTTAAAAGATATATTACTAAATATATAAAGTGTAATAAAAATTAATAAGTAATTTGAAAAATTGTCAAACAATTTTTATGGATTTAACAGGATTTAAAAGTTGTCATTCCAAACACAATTCAAAATTTATGCCGGATTTACAGGGTTTAGTAAATCCTATTAAAATTGAATCCAATCTGATACCAAACACCCCCAACTATCGGACTTAATTAAATAGGATTTAGTAAATCCTAATAAAATTTAATCCAATCTAATACCAAACACCCCCAACTGTCGGACTTAATTAAAATAGGTTTTACTAAATCCAATCTTGTGAGATCCCAACTGTTTGGCTATTAGTTCCAGGATTTAAAATTTGTTACAGGTATTTAACAAGTGCAAGATTTAACTAACAACAAGCTGAAACGGGATTTCACAAAACAGCAATATTTAAAGTCCTCAAAAATAAGTCTGATTATAGGCTTCTACCAAACAGCTAAGCATGTAAGCAACAAAAGAATTTCAATACAACAGGGAAGGCATGCAAAAAAAAGGAATGGCTAATCATTATATTTGAAAAAGAAGAATGCTAGAAAGCAAGAGTATACAAAAACAAAACATCAAATTCATGCAAATATAGATCGAACGAAGAACCAAACAAAAAATGCATTCCTCTTCAGCACCTGTGGCAACGAAGCGCTTGCAAGCGTCAATGGCTGCACTAGGAAGTAGACAAAGACGACATAGATAAATTAGAAACAAGAGAACGAACTAGGGCTTCATATGGCAGAACATTGCACGAAGCAGTTAACAGAACTTGATCATGCTCGAACGTCTACTGATATCTGAGGAGTTTAAGCCCGTAATTTCGGTCCAGGAATTCGACTAGTAGGATCATTTTGGGCATTGACGAATGACGAACCTTGGTTTCATCTTTGAGGGCATCTCCAACCGAAAACTTCATTTTTCACGGCAAAGTAATGCAAAACTCCAAAATGGCGCGGTGATGCTCCAATTGAACGACATTTTAGGTGTTTTTGAGAAGGCAACGATCGCCCTCCCTTTCGCGCGTTTTTCCTGTTGAGAGCAAAAAATGTCGTGAGTGAACAGTGCGACGCCAATATTGGCGTCGCACTGTTCATCCGCGATCAAATGGCGTAAAAAATGACGATCGGTTGGAGCAAAACAAGAACGGCAAACAAGTGTTTGCCGTTCGGTTGGATATGCCCTGAGGCGCAACGCCGGCCATGGATTAGCTTCTGTATATGTATAATCTTTGGTTGCTTTAAGCTATTCCCACTTGCCCTTTATATTGTACTTGTAACTATATAGACCTAGGGTCTTGTTTTGTCTCTAGTGATTGAGATATGCGTGCAAACAAATAATAAAGTGCATGCCCTTGCTTGTAAAAATAAATAAATTTTAAAATATATGAATTCTTTTAAGAGACAGTATTTAAGATTTTTTAAAATATTATATTAAATGAAAACAAATGAGCTTCTTACAATATATGAAATTAATTATATTTTGAAGATAATAAATATCTTGTTTAAAGTAATAAGATGATAGATAAGTACTAATACATACTATATAATTCTAATGCAAGTATTATCACTTGAATTTGTAAGTTACTATTGTTTTCAATTGATAAAGCACGAACAATATACGAAAATGAGCTTGAGCAAGTCCCAACAAACTAAACCAAAGAATATCATTCAAACCTAATCAAGCTCACATCCTTCGACTTCCTTGATCAGTTGAGTGAGTTAAGCTCGATGTGCCTTAATAATGGATTGCAATCGCCCAATATTGTTCCTTTTTTAATTCCCAGTTTACACATACATGGATAAAGACCCTAACATTCTCTATCACTGTCAAACCTCTCGTGGTGGTAGACAATGGAGAAAAAACCTAAGTTGCATTGACCTAGCCAAAAAAAGGTTTGCGCTTTTTTTAGTTCTTATGACATATAAAACCTTTGATAAGGTTTTTTGTAGTGATGGATTGCTCTTGAGAAAATAAATACTTCGATGCGAAAATTGTGGTCTATCATTGCCATTTTTTCTACCCTATATTTGATATATATGCCGACCTAGAGTTTTTAGAGTTTTTGCATGTCTTTTATTTATGAATCATTAGTGGCTTAAGATTGTTTTTCTATAAGATGAATGCTTTGATCCCAATATTATGGTATTTCATCGACATTCTTCAGTAACCCTAATTTGATCCACAAATCTTATGGGGCTTGTTTCATGTAATATTGCCATCAAAATTTGTTCTCATTCATTCCATTAGACAACTAGTGTTTAGAGCTTTGAAATCATATATTATATTATACGATAAAAAGCTTCTTTTTGTATGTTTATTATTATAAACTAGTAAACATTTGTTATCAGTCGTCTCATTTAATGTCATGACTATAAACAATTAATATCTATAGCATCTGAAAAAAAAAATCGACAACCTCCCCTCTATTTGAGGGAGGTTCACCCTAAATTCTAAACCTACACAGAAAGCAATAACAACAATTTTTATGCTTTGAATATGGGCATCTAAACATTTTATCAAACTGAAAGGAAGGCAGTTGAGATGCAACTTGAATGAAAGTTTCAACTCCCTGTATAAAATCATTTGTCAATCCTTTTCGACTCGGCAACAATCTGTTATACATCTAATATCTCTGTTCTTGGATAGTCATTTGAACGTTGAAGCAAACATCCCCCTACATAGTTATGGAAATATTTATTAAAACACATGTGTAAACCTTAACAAGTGTACGTGCTAAACTTTCAAACAAGTATACTTTACTTGAATTGGAATGCATTGTCTACCTCTACCTTTATTAACGTAAGTCAAATCTAATACCTCAACTTTCCCTACCGGGTCATCAGAAGGCCTCCGTTTAATGTGACAAAACCATATAAAGCGACTCTCTCAAATCTTATCTTCCACTGGAGCTACTCCAACCTTATCACGTATATGCTCACTTCGTATCCTATCTCTAAGGGTCAAGCCACTCATCCTTCTCTTTTATTGACCACGATTCGGCACCATAAAGCATTGCAGATCTCACCACCATCTTATAGAATTTTTACTAAAGTTTGAGGGGGACTATTCTATCACACAATAACAAGCCCGATTCATTCCTCCATTTCAACCATCAAACTTGAATTGTGCTGATAATATCCCATTCTATTTCACCATCACTCTAAACAAAATGTTCAATATATCTAAAACGTGTACTTTTATTAATTATTTCCTCACTAGGTCTATTGCCACTAAAATTACACTATATATATTCAATTTTATATCTACTAAAGTGAAAACCTTCAGACTCTAAGATTGACCTCCATAATTCGATTTTACCTTCAACTCACTCTCTAGTCTTATCAACATGTAGAATATCATCAACAAAAAACATACAACAAAGTACACCTAAGGCGACACTCTCTAATCTCATCATCCACTAGAGGTACTCATGATTAATGAAGCATATAAAAGATGCATTTGAACTTACAAATATAACTATTAATCATATGTCGAACCAGCTTTCATATTTCCACCAAAAGCCATCATAATGAATAAATACATATTTAAGAAAACTCTTGAATAGAAAACCCACATAAAGATGACTATGAATATTTACCATTGAGAAAGAAGGCACGCAAATGCTCTCAAACATTCTATATACCCTTCCAAAGAAAATTATAAAACATTTCAACATAAATCAAGCCATCTTGTATTTGAATAGTTTAATCTCAAGAACTCAAATCAGCATGAAGCATAGTTCTCTACAACAAAGTACATCTTAAGTCACAAACCGCTCACTAGGTTTATTGCTACTAAAATTACACCCCATATATTCAGTTTTAGATCTACTCAAGCGAAATACATAAAAAAAAACCTCACCTTGCAGGCGGCATCGCGCACGGGATTGGAACCAGATGTTCGTCGGCGGCCTTGCAGTGGGAGTTCGAGGGCGGCCCGTGTGATAGTCGGCGATCGGAGACAGGTCGTCGGCGGCTAGAGGCAGCTCGGTCGCGTGAGAGGCGGGCGGAGGAGACGGGCGAGCACGACCGAAGAGAGAGATGTGGAGAAGATGAAATGAAATGAGAGGCTCAGGCTGGCTCATTTTAGGGCTTTTACCGGTAGCTTCTACCGCCGGTAAGTAAATCACTTAACACCGGTGGCTTTGGCCGCCGGTATAGCACCGATAACTTTTAAAGCCGACGTTTTACTTGGCGGTTCTGTGACTGCCGCTATTACCGGCGGCATAAGCTTCCATAACGGCCGGTTGAGCCACCGATATTCGTCGGCGTCTAAACCGCCGTTAGTACTGGCGGCAAAACAACCGCCGGTAATGGCTGAATTTCCTGCAGTTATTTTATTAAATATGGTAAGTTTACAATTACAAAATTATAAAATTAATTTGGCCAAAATATGTTAATGACTCGTATTCGGTTTTTTATTTTTTACCCATTTATTAAACACTTCACGTCCTCAAGTTGATTGGATTCAAGTCGGGTCAATTTCGGTTTTGGCCTGAACTAAATCCGTCGAATCGTTTTGACACCTTTACATACCGGTGCACACGCCAGTATAAGGCAACATGGCTCTGACCAACATGAATCAGTTAGTCATTTTCAACCAAAATTTCTTGCTTTTATATAAATTTCTTGTAATGTATATCAAAATAGCA